TGCTAACTCATTTTAAATAGACTTGTTACTAAAAATGATTATTTTGTATGAAGCATTAAGGTAGTGACAGAAGCTTTACACATATTATGTGTCATCATCTGTCAACATTCTTGACATACTCAACACTTGTAATTTGACAGTGCTATACACATTATTTTAAGTAGAAGATGAGAATATATACCATTCTAGAGATCCTTTTGGTGGTTTTATGCTTACTCAATGCAATAGCAACTAAATTATTTTGATTTAGAATGAATTGACTTTTCTGTCTTTGGGGAACTCTAATTACCTTCAAGATAAGAGACAAGCAACCTCCTTCCACCCCAAATGCATACCTCTTTACTCTTCATGCTGCTTTCCAATGCCACCTTCTTAAGCCAATATCTTCATTTTAATTCTGGATTTATGTGTTTAAATCAAACACATACCAAGCAGTTGCAAGTGTAATGAGTTACCTCCACAAAATGAGAACCCCATGTTGAAGTTTGGGCAATGAGCCACTCTGACATTTAAAAGCCAATAAAGTGGAGACATATTAAATAAAAGGAAGGGACACTGAAATACAATTTTTTTCATATCTTTTCAGAGGTAATTTTTAAAGCTCCTCTTAGAGTGACATGAAAAGATGTCTCAGCCATAATCCTCTGATTTCATAAGGGGTTCTTCAAACCTTCTTGACTTGTAAGTTTTTAACTCCAAAGTTCCAAAATCCTCCGTCTTCACTCACATTAACAGGAAACACATCATCACACGTCTTCACAATCAGAAGAACTCTTGAAACTTCCATCTTCTGATCTCAACTTCTGTACTTTCTGACTTACTTACGACTATTAAACCTATTGTTTGTCCACATTAAGCTTTTATTTCCTCAATCCGTGCCTATTCACCAGCCCATATGCCCCTCCGGTTTTGGTTTCCTCACTTGTCCAAATACCATAGTCGGTGTTGATGGCAAATATTCCAAGAACCCCTGTGCCTCTACTCTCACTCCACCTCTAGCTTCATGAAGCTGTAACTTAGAAACTTCAGCATGTACATTCTCCACTCGCAGGTTTGGGGATAGGACTGGAGAAAATCATGAGCTTCTGATAGTTTTCTATACACTCCTCTCAGTTGCCACTTATTCATCTTTCAGTGAATCTTGATAATATTTCCACAATTCATTTTCCAAATTATACTCTTTGCCCTGTCAGTGGCAATTCTATTTTCCTTGAATGGACCAACAATGTTTTCCTTCCTCCCTTCTAGGTTCTGTGATTGATCTAATAATTAAATTAATATATGAGAACTAAACAGGAGAAAAAAAGATTTAATTTACTTTGTTTGAAGTGACTTTTGATAATTAAAAGTTATTATTTATTTATTTTTTTAGAGAGGAAAAACATGCACAAATTTGGGAGAGGGGCAGAGGGCAAGAGAGAGAATCTTAAGCTCAGTGCTCAGTGCAGAACCCAACATGGGGTTAGGTTGGATCCTATGATCCTGGGTTCACTACCCAAATCAAGAGTTGGGTGCTCAACATAGTGAGCCACCCAATTTTTCAAAGTTCTCAATTTTAGGAAAGTAAAATTTACTATTTTTATTTTGTGGTTGGCCCTTATGTGTCTTGTTTAAGAAACCATCCCCTACAACAAGTTGAGAAATATATAGTTTCTTCTCAAAGTTTTAAATTTCTGCCTTTGAAATATAAACTACTAATCTATTTCGAGTGGATTTTTGATGGCAGGAGGTTGAGAGTTTTTTCTTTCCTATAAACTATTACCTGAAGCTCATTTGTTGAATAATCCCACTCCTGAAGTTGACCATGGTACATCCTCTCTGTCAACCGACACAACTCCAGACAGACAAGACTTGATTCTGGGTTTTCTATTTTGTTGCAATTGTCAGTCTGTCTATCACTGTGCTCATAAAACATGCTTTTAAGAACTATGTTTTACTAGGGGTGCCTGGGTGGCTCAGCTGGTTAAGCATCCAGCTTCGGTTCAGGTCGTGATTTCATGGTTCGTGGGTTCGAGCCCAGTGTCAGGCTCTGTGCTGACAGCTCGGAGCCTGGAGCCTGCTTTGGATTCTCTGTCTCCCTCTCTCTCTGCCCCTCTGCTTCTCATGCTATGACTCTCTCTCTCTCTCTCACTCTCAAATACAAATAAACAATAAAATTTTTTAAAAACCTATAATTTTCTACTATGTCTTTATATATTTTAAGGAAAACTCTCCCTTGTTTTCCTCCTCATCCTTTTTTGCAAAAGTCTGGGCTAATTTTAGCACCGTGGTCTTTAATACAAATGTTAAATTCAATTTATCGAATCCCACGAGTAACCGTACTAGAACTTAGGTTATAATTTTATCAATTTAAGAGATAAATTTGAGGAAAGTGGCATCTGTAAAATATTCTCTTCTTATCAATAAATGTGGGTGACCTCTCCGTTTTCTTAATGTCCCTCAGTAAAGGATATCAGTTTGGCCTTAAGCAGTAAATGATTCTGAATATTCAGTCAATACTGATTGAATTGACTGATTCAGTCAATTGGTATAGAACACGTGCGACCTGGAAAACACTTTTACTCTGTGATCAGATTGTAAACAGCCAGAAGATAAACTGAAAACATCAGGGAAACTTTAAAGTTTTACTCAGAGAACAAAAGCAAATTCTTTCAGAATGCTCAGGAGCCCTGCAAATTTTTTTCTTTCAAGGAGAGTCTGTTTAGGGAACATAAATATAGATTTAAAAATAGCTCTCATTTATTCATCGTAAAGCAGGACAGTTGCAGCATGGATAATTAAAAGACACAGATGTGTGCATGGACTCTTTAACCCATGGAGCTCACATAAAGCTATTTTTGATATAGAAATATAATCTTGGAGTCCCAGAAACAGCCACAGATGCAACATTCTGCTGTCAGATGCCACATTCTGCCACTTACCATTACCCATAGACAATTACTGAAGATCATTATTTCCTATCACCTTCTGCACCAGAACATTTACCAGAGCTAACAAATAACAAAACTGACTAAATTCAAATTATCCTTCTGTTCCTCTCCTAACCTTCTTGATTTGGAACAATTAAATAGTCTAAATATAGGAGATGATTAGACTTGGATTGGAAAATCTCTAGATAACTATTTGGTTTGAAGTATTAAAGTTTTTTTTTTGTTGTTTTTTTTTTTAACAGAACCACCCTAAAACATCAATAATTTAGGCAATGGATTCCATTATTTCTGCAAATGTATAGGAATATTTTGTAAACTGTGTCAGAGCCACATTCTCTCTTTATCCAGAGATAAACAGGGACTATGATGAATCATCATTTGCCATGAGATGATTCAACTATCTCATCAGTACCTCCATATATGAGTTACAAATTACTTCCATAAAATATGTCTCCTTAAATTTCCATCTGTAAATTCTACTCAACCTTTAAGGCCCAACTAAATCAATATTAGGCTTCCCTAGTCATCAAAATAAAATGTGATGTATTTCCTCCCTTAATCCCCATGCCATCTTATACCTATCATGACACCAACAGCATTTTACTTGTTCCTGTAATAACTTTTGGATTGTCTCATTTCACACACCTACTGTTAAGGGAAGAGAAACTATTGGTAATTTCTTAAATGGCATTTCGTAGACACAACTGATGTAATATAACATCTGGCTCATAGTCTAACACTCAATAAACATGTGGTCAGTCTGTAAATAACTAGTATACCATGAGAGAACAATTGGTTGCCTCTCTTATGTGCTTGAGGTGATGCTTTGTGTATGTACACTTAATATTTAGATAACTAGAGTGTGCATTATGGCCTAATGGGAAAGGACAGGCCAGGATCCTCACTGATTCACGAGGGTCAGTCAGAACTGGGATACTGTGCTATGATAAGCTCAGTCTATTTATGTTGACTTCATGCTTCCTGCTTAGGAGAGCTGTAAGCAGCCACCTAACTTTAATTCTCCTTGCACAGAGGGCAACACTTAACCGAAATCTTATTTTTTTTTTTATATCATGAAACTTTCCTAATAACATGGTAGTGTTTTTATCCAGATGTAGAAAACAAACATCTCCAAGACAACAATGGAGAACTAATATATAACCTAGTTGGTTTAGGACATAAGTGGTTCTTTAAAATAATTAATTTTCATTATATTTTTTTATGAAAACAAACAGAATATCCAGGAAATGACATATTGCTGTATAGAAAGAACAGGTGCCCAGGATATTAAGTCGGTGTTAGTAAATCTGAGGAATACATGCACTTGTCAGCCCTCATAGATTCCCTTAGGTCTTGCTATTGGTCCTCCTTAAAAATCCATTGGCCACAATCATCATCAATCAAGTTTTACATATATAAATAGATTCCAAATTTATTCTTTCAACAAAAATGGCTCCTTTGTGCTTGGCAATGTGGGGCGAGGTTTTATGAACCACAGATTAAGAAAAACCTCCATTGGGGCACCTGGGTGGCTCAGTCAGTTGAGTGTCTGACTTTGGCTCAGGTCATGATCTCATTTGTGGATTGGAGCCCTGCGTCGGGCTCTGCGCTGACAGCTCAGAGCCTGGAGCCTGCTTCAGATTCTGTGTCTCCCTCTCTCTCCGCCCCTCCCCTGCTCACGCTCTGTCTCTCTCTCTCAAAAATAAATACATATTAAAAAAATGTAAAACAGGGAAAACCTCCATTCATGAATCTCACATTCAGGTTACTGAGAAAAAGGAGCATTCTGTTAATATAGACTAGAGCTCAGGATTAAGTCAGAACTTCAGGTTTTTAGTGCAAAATTCCACAAGCATTTTTTTTTCTCCTTACCATAGATGTGGCTAACTGTATCCAATTACAAACAGTTGGTGTCTTTGCTCCATGTTTAATGATGGCTTCATGGAAATTAAAGAAACAAAGGTCAGCGATGTAAACAGTTATTTGAATAAACGAGCAGTTACCGAAGCCACTGAGCCTTTCCCTTAAAAATACAGTGGCAGAAAATTTGCTTTACTTTTGCAACATTACCTTGGCATTACCCCTTGATTCCGAACACCAAATAGAATCCCCGAATTCATAGCATCATCTGTCAGGTGAATGCCATAAATGTAGTTTTCACTACCGACGGCTCAAACTAGTGTGTGTCACCGCAGTATGCAACTGTTGGCAACCTGCCAAGAGAATTGTGTATTTTAAAGTCGTGTCAAAAGTTGAAATGGTTAAAAGACAAGGCTATTACTTACTTACTTACTTACTTATTTATTTATTTAGAAAGCACCAGCGGAGAAAGGGCAGAGAAAGAGGACAGAGAGAGAATCCCAAGCAGGCTCCACACTGTCCGTGCAGAGCCTGCTCCGGGGGCTCAAACTCGAACTGTGAGATTGTGACCTGAGACAAAGTCAGACACTCAACCTACTGAGCCACCCAGGCACCCTTATAATTTATACTCAGATCAAAGTAAAACTATTAATTAAAAGATACTTTTTAACATTTTTTTAAGTTTGTTTATTTTTGAGAGAGAAAGAGCGAGCTCTCATGTGCACAAGAGCAAGGGAGGAGGGGCAAAGAGAGAGAGAGAGAGAGAGAGAGAGAATTTAAAGCAGGCTCCACACTGTCATCATGGAGCCCAACATGGGGCTCAATCCCAATCCCACAAGCCATGAGATCATGACCTGAGCTAAAATCAAGGATCAGCTGCTTAACTGACTGAGCCGCTCAGGCACCCCTAGAAGATACTTTTAGGTGAGACAGTATGTTATCCGATGCGTGGGAGCCTGGGGATATGAGGAGTGATCAAGTCCGCACTTGTTACTTTTGTATAGATTATCCCCACGGAATGAGACCACTGGGGCTAATGGTTTTTGAAACGGCCCTATTCTCTCTAGTAAATTTGGAATCTACATGACAAATCTTCACTGGTCAGATTAGGTTTGGTATCCTTTATTTATATCATGTACTCTTATTTTTATTATTTTTCAAATTTGCTAAATCTACTCATGAGCCTGTTTCTTGACTCCTGGTTTTGTAATCTGGAATGAGGCACCTTGTGTAATGAAATGTTTCCCTTCTTATTCGAATAAAAGTCAGTTTCTTTAAGGTTTATGTAACTTCCCAAAGTTGAAAAATGACTGGACTTTTCTAGAAGACCTTACCTAGGAAGTTGTCATTTATTTCCTAGTATTGTTCTTTTTTATATGAAAGGGACTTGTCAAAATATCTAGTCTTCAGAAAGTTCACACTCCCGGTCATTTTCCACTTAAAAGGAGGTAGGGGCAAAATAGTGGTGATTTTTGTCTCTGAATGAGAGGTGTTCTCTTGGTCCAGAAACAAATTAGAGAACAACACTAAGAGTGTATCAAGTAGGTAATGAATGTGAATTAAGTGGATAATATTCACTTCCAGCAGTTGAAATTCGAGTATGAGATTTGGAGCTAGACAGACCTCCTAACTCCACTACCCACTGCCCGGGAGACTTTATGAGTTTTTGCTTATTTCCCTACGAGCCCAGCAAGTATACAGGAAAAGCAATAATTGAATGTGTACTGAAAGGTACTGGAAGGTAAGAGACAGCAGAGCTGAGGAGTTGATACCTAACCTGGATTTCCTATGTGTCATGCCATGCATGATGTTTGGAGCTTACTAAACTCTCAAAGCAAAATTATAAGATACTTTCTGAAAGGAAATATACTACTTTTATGGAACTACAACTGATTTTTAAAAAATCATTTTCGCTAGGCAGAGAATATATAATGGAAAGAAAAAAAATTTAAACATGAAGATGTAGAAGTTGAAGGAGTCATTCGACCTTGGATGGAAACAGGAATGTTAATGTTATTTTTTAGGCAATAAGGATAGTGATAGAGAATCCTTTCTCTAAATGCAAGAGAGACCAATTCTTGTTAAAACAGTTTGTTCCTTATGTCATGGATTTGCTTAGAGCAAATGACAGGCGAGATGTGTACCAGCTTTGGAGTTTGTGACTTCTTATTGATATATATTCCAGGGAGTTTCCTAAATGAATGCTTTCTTGGAAAACAGCTAAATGGTTTCCTGCCTGAGATATTCTATCTTACCTTCACGCTGCTCATTTCTGCTCTCGGTAAGAGTGGAACACGTCTTCCTCTAAGATATTAGCACATTTGAAGCTCATCTGACGCAGTGGATTTACCACCCATTCCTTGAAGCAGTTTCTTGACTCCGCTTCCAGACAGCTGCATTCTTGGTCTGCCTCTGACTTCATTGGATCCATTAGTTTCCTTGGCTGGATGTGCTTCATCTTCACTGCCTCTGAACATTGGAAGGACTTAGGGTTCCAGTCCAATCTTCTGCTCTTTAAATTCACATCTAGGTGACCCGGGGCTCCTGGGTGGCTCAGTCGGTTGAGCATCCAACTTCAGCTCAGGTCATGATCTCATGGTTTGTGAGTTCGAGCCCGGCGTCGGGCTCTGTGCTGACAGCTCAGAGCCTGGAGCCTGCTTCGGATTCTGTGTCTCCCTCTCTCTCTGCCCCTCTCCCGCTCACACTCTATCTCTCAAAAATGAATAAACGTTAAAAAAAATTTAATTCACATTTAGGTGACCTTATCCATTGGCCCCAGCCTTCCACCTGATCTCCAACTCAGATATTCAACTGCCTGCTCAGTGTCTCCACCTGAATTTCTAATAGATACCTCAAACTTAAGAGGCCCAAAAAATAATGTTTTCATTTCCTGTATCTCCATACATGCTCCTCCCCTAGTCTCTCTTAGCTCAGAAATTAAACTAACCATTGCTCACAAAACGAAGCTCCTTTTCAGTCATAGTCCACATATTTCACATTCTCTCAGATGTCCTATATAATCCACTTAAATATATATCGCAAGTCTAATTCTCTCCACCTCCACTGCAACTGTCCTAGTCTAAGCCAAACCATCTGTTGCTAGAATATTTAACATCCAAACGTCCCCAACTTCCAACCTTGCTGTCCTGTAAGAGGTCTCCATGCAGCATCCTGAGCAATATTATTAACATGTATAGCTGATTGTTATCAGTCTCTTGCTCCAAAATCTCCCAAACACATTTAACATAATCCAAATTCTTTACTATAACCTACAAAACCCTCTAAAATAAGGTTTCTGCTTCCCTCTCTGGCCTCATTTTTCCTTCTCCCCCCTTGTATATTCCACTCAAGCAAAAGCAGCCATACTTCGGTTTCACAAAGATACTCATTTCCATCTCTAGGCCTTTGTCCTTGCTTCCTCGTGCCCGAAATATTCTTACTACAGACAATCCCATGGCTTGTTTTCTCAGGTCATTGTTCTCAAATTGAGCATTCTGACCAAAGAGAGTCTTTTTCTGTTGATTCTATTTAAAATAGGCTGTTCTTGGGGCACCCAGGTGGCTCAGTCAGTGAAGTGTCCAACTTCAGCTCAGGTCATGATCTCACAGTTTGTGGGTACGAGCCCCATGTCAGGCTCTGGGCTGACAGCTTGAAGCCTGGAGCCTGCTTCAGATTCTGTGTCTCCCTCTCTCTCTGCCCTTCCCCCATTCATGCTGTTTCTCTCTCCCTCAAAAATAATGAAATGAACATTAAAAAACTCTAAAAAGATAAAATAGGCTGTTCTTGCTCTCTTACCTTCTTATTTAGTTTAAATTCCTATATATTATCTATCACTGTCTAACATTATAGTATAGATTTATTTGTTAATTATCTGATTGTTCTATGGAATGTAAGCTTCTCAAGGAAAATTTACCTTAGTCATTGATACTCTCTGTCTTTTACCTGGGCTATTTCTGGGCATATAGCAAGTGCTTATTATTTGCTGAATGGATTATTAAAGGGAATGGAATTATAAACATTTTGGGATCCTCAAAAGCAGCAGTGGAAGCTAGAAGAGTGTTTTTAAACCAGTGTGAACTAGGTGTGGTGATGAACAATTAGACCAATAGACGACACGTGAGAGCTCAGAACCAGGGCCAAGAATACATGGCAGCTTTAATTCCCAGAGGTGGCATCACTGATGAGTGTGAAAAGGACGTACCATTCAGTAAATAGTATCAGGATAATAGGTTATCCATGGCAAAAAAAAAAAATTAAAACTGAATCTCTACCTCTCATCCTATACAAAAATAATTAATTAATTAATTCCACAGACAGTTCAAAAGTAAAACTTTATAGATTTCTTTGATAGATGCAAAAAAAAAATTCATTAAAAAAAGATTGACGTATGTGTCTACAATCATAATCTGAGATTTATTGTCACCAAAACAATACCAGAAGGTGTAAAATAATCAATTACAGACTGAGAGAAGCTATTTGCAGCAATCTAATTGACAAATCATTAATAATCTAGAATGTGAAGAGCTTTTATTTTCTATAGGCACATGGCAGGGGGGCAGGGGGGCAGGGGATGGGCAACAGACACATACCAGCAAATCCCAGAAGAAGAAATAAAAGTGTCCAGTTCATAGAATATGCTCAATCCAGCCTGCAAGCAAGAGAATAAAAGAAAAAAGAAAACATGAGATATCGTTTCCCCTCTGTTCCCATCATTTTCTCTCTCCCTTCCTCCCTTCCTCTCTCTCCCTTTCTCTTTTTTTTTTTTTTTTTTTAGCTTTCATTGTGGTTCTTAGAGTTAGTCTAATATAGAGTACTATATCACCAGTAGAAGTGGAATTCTCTTTTTTATTTTGCATCTTTTATTTCAATATTTTGACAAAAGATAAATGTAAATTTTCTTTGAAGTAATGGGCATATTGGTGGAATAAATATTTCTTACTCTATTTCCATTCCTAATGACAATAACAACAAAAAAAGGAAATAACAATCATTAATTCCAAAATAGACCTGTCAAATACAATATAATTTGCAAAAATACATGACCAATTGCAGGGATGTGTAGGAGAAGAAATCATTATTGAAATGAAGGCAACAAAATGAGAAGAAACACTATTAAAAAATACTAAGAGGCCTAAAACATAGGCTTGATAAAACAAATCAAAAAGAAATGACAACGAAAAGCTAGAAATGATCAGAGAGAAACTAATTGATACAAAATAAACACAAATACATACAATGTATGCCTAACTTGCATTTCTACAAGAATAGGATAGACTGAGATAAAATCACTTATAATTTGATTTTAGAAGAAAGGTTTTATTTTCTTTCTGAAATAAAGTATGACATTATAAAAAGACTTAAGTGATGCTGTTTGATAAGAAAAGTTGATCCAGAATTATCAGTATGGAGATGTATTCTGGCAATGCTCCTGTCTTCTGAGAGTAGTATCCTTTGGACTTTCTGGCAAACTACCAGGTTACATACAACAAGGGCGAGCTAATCTCAGATTCCTTCACCTCAATATTGGATGGTAGGTGACCGTGATCAAAGGTCCACAAAACCCTCAAAGTACTGAATTTCATAAGATTTGCCTTCAAGTGAAAGAGCAAGAGAAAAACATTTCCAAACATGCTAAAATTCCAAAACTGTAGCGCCTACGCACACACACCTTTTAGAAAACGGAGTGAATGATGAAATTCTGCTGAGAAATATATCAAAATGAAGAGTTCAGGAATGGGGAAATACTAAATCCATTTAAATATGTAAGTGAAAAATTATCAGGAGTTAAAGGTAAGAGAAAAGGATTAAAAGCCTTAACTATATGAAAACTTAAAAATACAAAAATCAAGAAGTCAAAGCATGAAGAAATAAGCAGAAGAAAAAAATATATCCTGCTTTCTTCATCTATTATAATAGAGGAAGCATAGAAATTTAAATATAATTTATTAAAATGTTTTTTACAAGAAAATAAAAAATACTGTTATAAACCATCAAGGTATGAGAGGGAAAATATGTATAAACTAAAGCCAAAGAACATGTGGATGATATGACAAATAGCAGAAATAGGTAATATTCAAAACAGAAAAAAATCTAATATATATTAAGATGATTAATTAAGACAAAATGTAATGTCTATCATATTACTAACGTAATAATTCTATTACATTATCGTACCTGAGATAAATTAATTTAGCAAATAAAACATATTGTCAAATTTTATACATATGTATGAAATGTATATTTCTTACCAATATGTTGGTGAGAGTTGACCATACTTACATAACATAAATCTAAAACAAATTTATATTACAATCCCCAGGTAAAAGTGAAATTATAAAGACAATGAAACAAATGCCAACAATAATAAAGTAAGCAGTGATTGGGCTATCAATACATGCATAGGTTGAATTTATGACATAATACAAAAATAAAATCCCAAATCCCCAAAATCGTTGACATAAATATTTCACACAAAATAACATAGAATCAAAACTAATAAAGTAAAACCTCCAGAAGACATGTACAAAAATAGACAAATCTGTCATAGAAGGGTATTTATCCTTAACCCTTTATTTGGGGTGTGGGGACTCTTCTCAATGCAAGACAAATCAAGTAAACGAAAAGGCTAAGGATACAAATACTATCAACAATAAAATAAAGCTAATGAGCACATTAAATTGTATCCTAAGAGAAAAGAAATAATCTTTCAAGTTCCTGTGAAGCATTGACCAAATGTTAAGTCTGAAGGACACTTTCTTAAATTCCAAATTGTTGAAATTACTAGACCACATTCTCTGAATAGATCTGTTGCATTTGTATATATCAATAATGAAGCAGCAGAAAGAGAAATCAAGGAACCAGTCCCATTTACAATTGCACCAAAAAAAAAACCCTTAAGATACCTAGGAATAAACCTATCTAAAGAGATAAATGATATATATGCTGAAAGCTATATAATACTTATGAAAGAAACTGAAGAAGAAACAAAGAACCCATCACAATCCCAGCCTTCAAGCTTTTACAAAGCTGTAATCATCAAGACACTATGGTAGCGGCACAAAAACAGACACTCAGATCAATGGAACAGAACAGACACAGACCCACAAACATATGGCCAACTAATCTTTGACAGAGCAAGAAAGAATATCCAGTGGAAAAAAAAGTCTCTTCAGCAAATGGTGTTGGGAAAACTGGAGAGAGACATACACAAGAATGAAACTGGACCACTTTCTTACACCATACACAAAAATCAACTCAAAATGGATGAAAGACCTCAATTTAAGACAGGAAACCATCAAAATCCTAGAGGAGAAAACAGGCAACAACCTCTTTGACCTTGGCCACAGCAATTTCTTATTCAGCATGTCTCCAGAGGCAAGAGAAACAAAATAAAAAATGAACCATTGGGACCTCACCAAGATGAAAAGCTTCTGCACAGTGAAGGAAACAATCAGCAAATTTAAAAGGCATCTGATGGAGTGG